CACAACCATAACCACACCCTAACCACCACCTCCACAACCACTCACCAACACGTCCACACAAACACCACCACACAAACACCACCAGACACCACATAGAGACCACACAAATACCAACACCTCCACAAAAAATACCACCATCTCCACACAAACACCTCCACACACCAGCACATCATGAAAACAACACATTTATCACACTACCACTACCTCCACACACCAACACCACCACCTCCACACAAACACAACCACGCACCAACCACCACCTCCACAACCACACACCAGCATCTCCACACACCACCACACACACACCACACACACCACACACCAACACACACACCACCAGACACCACATCCACACCAACACCTCCACACAAACACCACATCCACACCAACATCTCCACACATCAACACATCAAGGCACCAACAAATCCACCATACCACCATCTCCATCACCAACACCTTCACATAAACACAACCACATACTAACCACCACCTCCAAAACCACACACCAACGCCTCTACACAGACACACCACCCCCACACACCACCACACAGACACCACCAGACACCACACAAACACCAACACCTCCACACCGTCATCACCACCTCCATACCACCAACACCACACACCTGCACCAACACATCCACATATACACCTCCATCTCCACACAAACACCAACACCTCCACACGCCAACCACACACCTCCACACGCCAACCACACACCTCCACACACCTTCACACAGACACCAACACCTCCACATACCAACCACACACCAACCACCATTGCACTACCTCATAACCAACACCACACCACGCCACCTTCTCTAAACCACACACCAACCACCTCGACGCCACAGAACACCAACATCAATGGCACACCACACCACTCAACCACCTCCACATCACCTTCTCCCACAAGAAAACCACCACCTCCTCACAACCTACAACCAAAATCAACACCCTCTTTCATCCATTTTTCAAATTCTCACACAAACATTAAAGATAATGGTAGAACCCCATCCCATATTTTTCATTTGACCAATTATATACAACACCCGAAACATTGCTATCCACAAATTAAGTACTTTCTTTCATTTGAGGCAATTACTTTTAGGACATCCATATTTTTCAAATTCTCACTGGTTAAATACTAGGCACCCGAAACACTGCTATGTCTAGGGCACCCGAAAAAAAGCCACTTCCAATCCATATTTTCAATTGAGGCAGTAACATACAGGACACTGAAACAGTGCATTTTACAAATCAAGCTCCTTCTTTCATCCATTTTTTATTGTAGTGGCATACAAGGCCTCCGAAACAGTGCTATCTACATACAGAGCACTCGAAACAAAGCTATCTACATACAGCCGAAAATACCCATTCCACAGAACCCTACAAAGCGCAAAACTCACAAAATCCATAAAATTCTCACAATAACAGGATAAAAATTAGAAAGCCACAAAATGTGAAAGCTCAAGATTGATTCCACAAAATTCTCACAAAACCCTACATAGCGCAAATGAGAAAACCACAAATCACAAAAAGAAAGCTATTCCATCGAAAATGAGTATAGGAATTACATACAGTGCACAATAACCAGAGATTGAAGGGAAAAAGAGAGGAGAAGGACAAGTTGCCACCAGAAAGAGACGCTTGAGAGGCATGAGAGAGGCACGAGAGAAATGAGAGAGATACCAGGGCAGCGAGGTAAGAACTTTGCGAGAGCGATAGAGACGTAGCTAGGGCAAAAGAAACGCGAGAGAGGGAGCCACAAGGTCGAGAGAGGCAGAAGAAACGAGAGGGAGGGCCGCATGATAATATGTATGCGAAGAAACGCGTGCCGTGGGATCGAACTTGCGTCCGCGTTTTAACATAGATTATCTAGGAATTTCACTGCCTCACCGTTTCCAAATAGGCAGAATCGCGTTTTCAAAATGTATCGTGCCAAAAAAGCTGCCCCTAACTAGCCCTAAGTTTCCTTCCAACTTTTCTTTTGATTTCCCTCCAAAATGGTTGAATATCATCTGAAATTTCTCCCTATAATCGATGACGAATTCTTCCTGGATTAATGCAAAAAACTCCAAGTGTAAATCCCTTTTCCGTGTGGTTCTGAAACGCTCCAACAATTAGTCCTTGAATTCTTTCCATGTTCTAATTGGATGACATTGCTATCTTCATTGATACCATACTAGAGTCTCCCCTTCCAAACACATGGCCGCCACTATAAATTTTTCATCCTTTGTCGGCTCATTAATAATAAATATCTCTCCACGCAATAAACCCAATCATAAGCATCATCTCCTTAAAAAATCAACATTTTCAGCTTCTTTATGCGTGAGTCTCTTAACCAATTTTATCTATTGAAGTTCATTCCACTCATGAATTGGGGGTTCAGTTCTCTTCCGTGACTCATATTGATTTCCTTTCTTCTATAAGTTTGGCTTGCCCCATACTCAGTTTGCCACTCCCCATAGGGTTCTGAATCGCCTTCCCTCCCGGAAGGCAGCTGCAGCGAAAGACACTGATGAGGTTGGATGTAGCCCTCACTCGGGTGACCACCAGCTGCAGTTCCCTGTTCCAAGCCGACTTCATTCATATCGATCTTCTCCAGCCCCAAATCACACACTGTCCCATTCTACTTGCTGACCCTCATTCCACTTGTTCGAATGTTTCGTTATTCCTTCCAAGTGTTGCTGTTCAAGTCTACTCCTGTGCTGTCACTCGATCCCGCTACAGGCCGTGGTGGGTTTGTGTGAAATTCCACGATTTTCTTCATTTCTTTGAAGGTCGTGAATTTTCCCTCCATATACTTGAAACGCTCATCCTCTGTTCACCTCTTTGTCTAATTCTACTCTAGATCATCTATCTTAATGGCCGCCATTACTCCCAAGAAAATTTTTGATAACAAAGGCAGTAGTCTCTATGCTCTTTGGCTTCCTCGCTAGCTCAAATCGCGACTATATCACACGGTTCTTCACTGTATGCTGCGATCCCCCTTACTAGGTCAAATTGGGCGATCTCGTCATTAGTACGCTGCGACCTAGTCATTTTCTCAACTCGGTAGATTCGAGCGGCGACTGTATGGCGTGGGTTCCTCATGAAGGAATGACTTAGCCCCCTGTATGCTACCGCGATTGCTTTCAGAGATAGAAGGCTTTGATACCAAATTGATATGATTCAGAAGAGTTTTCCACAGAAATTAGGCAAACCAAATATTTATTTCAATAACACCAAACAACACAACTAAAATATATAAAGGATGAGTGCCTACAATTCAAGAGGTAGACGATCTCTCCCAAACCTAACCCTAACACCTACAATTCGAGAGGTAGACAATCTCTCCCAAACCCTAATACTAAAATTCGAGACAACAATCTCATAGCATACTAAACACTAAGCATAATAAGCCCCATTTATACCAAATAATATAACTAATAAAAGGCTAAATTGCCCTCAGGTTTCAATCTAACATAAATCTATTAAAATCAAACATTATGCCTTTGAATGAGTGTATGCCCAAACTATCCAAAATTTGGGCCTACTTGTTTAACAAGCCCACGAATATAAATTCACCAAATAAAACCACATAAACCAAAACTCTAATGTGTCTTATACGAGAATTATCAAGTAAAACTAAAATTTGGAAGTTGGTGATAACCATGACATGCCGCTGAGTTTTTATTGGTTGTCATGTACCTATAAAACACAAGCAATTATGTTGTATGACTTTGAACCATTCAGTGAAAATTGGTGAAGTAGTCCTCTGTTTGTAAATGTGTTGACATTAATCTCAAAAGGATGTCTTTAAAACATATTTTTCACGTTTGTTTGCATAGTATAGCTGAGTTGGGCTCCATGGATGGGACAACTTATGGTGCCCTGGTAATGGTAGTTTAGGTTCTTTGATATGTTTGTGAGGATATAATCATGAGATTTTGATCTGGTCAACCTCCATCTCAACCATACTCCAATTAAATTCAACCACAAATAATAAATCTAACCTATAACGAAACTTAGACAATCTCCTTAGTCAACAGTATTCTCCTTTGAATGGGATGAGTAGTTAATTATGGTGGCTTGCACACAAAAGTAGTCTCTACTCTATATCTAAATAAAACCTGATATAGCATCAATGAAATTGAGCTAAAAAACTATCTAATCTACCTCAAAGAAAACCACTCCAAAGTTTTTCCCTACGTATTGTAAAGGCTCGAGGAAGGAGTTAGTTTTTCCTTAGCGATCACTATGCCTCACATCTAAATATAGAGATTATTTTTCTTGGAATTAGGTAGTCACACTTATACCATGCTCAACAATCAACTTGTACCTACAAGATTGAAACTGGAATAAAAAAAGTGTCCAAACCAAAATTTTTTGAATTATTTGCCTCAGACTTCAATTTATAAACTTCTTATAGCCCAGCTTATTAAATAAGAATGACACATGACCAATCTTAATTTCAGTTCAAATTCAAACCAATTCATTTTGGTTTGCTGAACGTGCAAAGCTGATCGATAGATACAGTCCTTGGTGAAATGATGGTCATATCAAGGTTGCAGGTTTTTGATTTGAGCCTAATCTATGATAATCTGCATAGGAATACTACAACTTCGCATGGAGATGTCCTTTGTATAAATTTCCTTTTAGTTAATGTCATTCATATTGAGTGTTGCATGGTACTTTAATTTTCTATTTTGCAAAATTTTTTACAAATTTTCATTGTCATTTTATTTATAATCTAATTATTTGTTTTTAAATCCTTCCATATTAGTTACTTTTAATGTTGTTGGCGTACCTTATATTTTTCACTATATATGCGAAAACCATCTTTCTTTTTTTTCATAGTTTGTTTAAGCCTATTTTACCATTTTATAATTTATTTATCCTTTTTGGTTTTATGATTTGCTCATCTTAATATTATTATTTCTACCGCACTTGTAAATTCTATATGCTATGAAAAAACTTAGGATGCGCCACTCTTACATTATTTGTGACATTTGTAGCTCTACTTTGAGAAGGAAAGCCTTCCAGAGGACCAGTTTGAGCTGCTAAAGACATTTATTGACATTGGTGATATTTTGGGTGCAAGTGGCTCTATTAAGAAGACAGATAAGGGTGAGCTATGATGACTCCTACTTAGGTTATATATTCCTTTTTTTTCATATTTTTATAATTATTATTCTATATCTCCATTTAGAAGTCTATGTTATGTTTGGAGCTTGATTTACAAGGAGAAACACCTAGGAACGGTGTAGCGGGCAACCCATCGCTTAGGGTGTTCCCTTATGCGTGCTAATGCATAGTCTAGCAATAAAACAAGTGCCCCGGCGCTACTTGGGCGTCTTTCAAGGGAAAATTGTTGCAAGTAAGGGTGCTAAGGCTCTCGAAAGATTTGTTTCCAACATTCTGGTATGGAGCGCTCGAAAACTCGGTGCTCGGATATGACACCTTTGTACCTGTAACCGATTAATGCAGTTTGAGACTTTATTTTCTATGTTTCTTTGTTGTAGATGGTTTGCGTGTATAGTGCAAAGTAATGCTGTAAGTTGTTGTATTTTTGTGAGTTCTCTTGTGCGAAAGAGAAAGGAGAGGAGCCTTTGTGAGTTCTAAGAGAGTTGTGAGGCTTGAATGTGGTGTAATCTGTACAATTTCTGGTTATTTCATAGTGAATTTCTTGGCATTATGGCTTCATAGATTTTTTTCTATTCTCAGGTTTCTTCACGTTAAATCTTATTTTTTTGTGTTGTTTCTGGAATTACTTGTTTATGTGCTTCTATTCAAGTATTTTATTCCAGATCTCTTGAATCAATATTCTGCATGTATCTTAACCCCATAACAATTGATATCAAAGTAGGATTTTTTTGAAGATCTTTGATTGGAGTGGAAATAATGACCGACGAAGCAATGTACAAGGTAGAGAAGTTCAATGGTACGGATTTTGCGTTTTGGAAAATTTAAATTGAAGATATATCGTATCAAAAGAAATTGTATTTGCTACTGGAAGGAATTACCATGAAGTCTGAATCGATGACTCTAGAAGAATGAGAATCACTTGATCAAATAACTCTACCTCATTTGTTGCATTCAACTTTGTGAATGAGAAAATTACGGTAGATCTCATGAATGTATTAACACGAATATATGAGAAGCCCTTGGCTTTAAATAAAAGTTTTCTGATGAAAGGATTGTTCAATCTGAGGATGATGAATGATAATATAAATTTTTTTTCATGATGACTGCATTAACATTTGAATAATTTCAACGCAGTGGACCGCAAGTTCGATGTCGTTGTCAGGGCATTATTATTTTTATCTTCATTACCAAATAGTTGGGATAGATTTCGAGCAACTCTTCTGGTAATATGAAGTTAAACTTTGATGACATTGTGGAGTGAATGCTGAATGAAGAAAGTTTGCAAGAAGGTAAAAGGTGAAATTTTAAATTTTGTATTGAATGTTGAAAACAGAGGAATGAATCTGGATGGAAACATAGTTAGGG